TGTGTGTTAACTGTGTCTGAGTCACGTTAGCCATGTCTGTGTGTTAACTGTGTCTGTGTCATGTTAGCCGTTTCTGTGTGTGTTAACTGTGTCTGTGTCATGTTAGCCATGTCTGTGTGTGTTATCCATGTCTGGAATGTGTTAGCCACTTCTCTGTGTGTTGACCATGTCTCTGTCATGTTAACCGTGTCTATGCTGTGAACCATCTCTGTGTCAATAATGTCTGTGTCATGTTAACAGCATCTATACCACGTGAGCCATGTTTGTGTCATGTTAATGGCATCTGTGTCACGTTAAGTTTGTTTGTGCCATGTTAGCTGTGTCCACGTCATGTTAGCCATGTCTGTGCCATAGCTGTCATGTGAGCCATGACTGTGTCTCGTTAGTCATGTCTGTGTTGTATTAGCCATGCCTGTGTCATATGAGCCATGTCTGTATGTGTTAGCCGCATCCGTGCCATCCATGGTTGTGCCTGCATGTATGAGCTGGGTCTCTGTCATATGTGCCGTGTGTGTGTTAACCATGTCTGTGTCATATGAGCCATGCATCATCTGTAAGCTGTCTGCATGTGTTAACCACGTTTCTGTCATGTTAACCATGTCTATGTCATGTAAGTCGTCTCTGGGTCCTAGGTATCATGTAAGCCATGCCTGTCACATTGACCGTGCCTCTGTGCCGTGTGAGTAGTGTCTGGGTCATGGTAACCTTGTCTGTGTCATGTAGACCATCTCTGTGTCTTATTCACTGTGTCTGCCATGCGAGCTGTGCCAGTCTATGTGTTGGCCATGCCTGTCATGTTGACCATGTCTTTGTGCCGTTTGAGTAGTGTCTAGGTCATGGTAACTTTATCTGTGTCATGTTGGTCTTGTCTCTGTGTCAGTCGTATCCATGTCGTCTGTGACAGAGAGCTCACTCCCGCCCGTCATGTTCTGAGTGCAGAGTGCAGAGGGACAGCCAGCAGAGCCCATTCACGGGGCTCAGGGGACCAGAAGAGGAGGCTGACCCAGGCATGGGCAGGCGGCCCAGACGTGGGTACTGCTGGGGAGTCAGCTGCCTGGTCTTGTCTCAGGGTTTCTTGGACATGGCCTGGTGCTGAGTCCACACTGTCACATGTTCTTGAGCATCCTGGGACCATGGCGTGGTCTTGCCTGGCTGAGCGGGGACCAGCAGGCACTGGGTGGCCCTGGACCTTCAATGCGGAAGCTGCTGGCACAGACCAATCATGTGTCAGTCAGAGAGAGGGCAAGAGAGAGACATGTGCAGACCTGATAGGCCAGCAGGGACACCTCTCGTACCCCTCAACCTCCTCGCCTCCCACTTCTCCCTCCATCACTTTGCGGTTCTTTTCTTACTTTTTCTTTTCATGGAGAGTGGGAAGAACATCTTTAAAATATGGAACTCAGAGATTGGGACTCCTAGATGCCACTGTGGTGACATCCAGGAGAACAAGAGACCATAATCTCACCCCTGAATCTGGTAGAAGGTTCTGGAAAGGATGTGTTTCCTTGATTCCAGGGAGAGAGTCTGTGATCCCAGCTCTTTAGGGCTGCTTCACAGGTGACCATATGCCACCTCTGCTCCCTGAGCCCTGGACCATGTCTCCCATTGACTCAGGGGCGTGAGTGGTGGGCACTGCTCCCCACTCCACCACTGCCCACCTCACAAAGGAGGAGCCAGCAAGACCCCCAGGCAAGGGGAAGACTCAGAGTCAGCACAGACAGCTGGCCTGACGTCAGCGCGCCTGGACTGAGCTGCCCCTAGGTCTCCTATTCCGTGTGCCCAAATGCTGGGGTGTGTGGGAAGCCCCAGAGAGAGCAGAGGGCTCCCTCGTGCCACTGCCTGGGTGCCCCATTCCTCTCTGCTGTTGTTTGGTGTAGTTGTGTGAGCTCCCACTCATAGTGATCTACACACAATGTAAACTCAGCCTCTCCTACACCACTCTCACAATCTCTGCCACAAGTAAGCCCACTGCTGCGGTCCTTATGCCAGTATTGCAGACAGAGGGTAAAGTATTTCTATAATTATTAATAATGAGACAGACATCCAGAATGAGATAGAACAGAGAGCATGAAAAACAGGGAGCCAGCAGTTCTCAACTGAAGACTCCCATTCCAGCTTTCCTGAATCTTTATTGAAAATTATCAGAAAGTAAATCACAAAGAGAACTCAATGCAAATGAAGCCAAGCTCTTTCTATTGAAAACCTTCCCTTTTGACTCAGGAGGGAGGGGTTAGC